TGGCTTCCTACAACTTTGATCAACTAGTAGTGGACTAGAGAGAATTGGGGACATCTGAGGTCTGTCCAGTGACACTCTCTGTTCCAGGATGGTTAGAAAACATGTACTTGTGGTACAGGCAGGGAGACTGACAGCACACCACCCAGACCTAGCCGCTGGAGTCTGGGTGGGGGTTACTGAGGAAATCTACATCCCTGCATTTCCTCCACACCCCCACCCCATCCCTGCTGAAATCCCAGGAAAATCAAATGAGAAAGGAAAGTATTTTTGCCTTTGATGTATAAATGAGAAAAGAGGGAGAGATAACACTAGACACATATTGTGGGGTGAGGAGAAGACAATTATGAAATACATACTTCTTAGATGAGGGGGCTAAAAAGCAGGGGAGTAACTAGACTGTTCAGAAAGCTGGACTCCCTGAGGAGGAGGTGAATGCATCTAACATGCTCAAGGTTCTGGGCTCAATCCCCAACACTACCAAAAAAGAAAAAAGTCAGCTGGACCTTCCCATATCCCTCAACCACATGCAGAAGTTAAGTGGCTGTCCTTCTCCACCTTCGGGTCAAGTCTGGACACACAGCATGAAAGGGTTCTGAGCCGTGACATTCAGCTTCATCTCTGCTGTGGCAACCTGGCACTCCTCCAGCCTCGAGAGGACCAAAAGAGCCCTCTCTGGTCACTCTCACCAGACCAGCAATGGTATCAGAGATCACCCTGATCTCCAACCATGTGAACAACACAATAGTCCAAGGCCAGATAGTTACCAGAAAAACACCACCTTGGACACATGGCACCATATATACGTCCCATCTCCAGGAAAACTTAAAAGTCACACCCACACACCAAAAAGAACTAGAAAAGTCCCAGTCACCTCACCCACAAGCTTTGCACCTGGCCCAGCCCAGCCTTTCTTGGGAGGCCCAGTTGAATCAGCCTAAGATGAAGCTAAGGTCAACAAGCCTATCCACAGCTTTGGCCTTGTTAAGTGCCTCCCCTCAAATGCGAGCCGGTAACCCTGGGCAACCAGACCAGAAGGAACACCTCCAACACACTGCCTGTTTTCACTACACTTCTGCAAACCAACAGGGTGTGGCTGGGCACACTTCTAGCCAAAAAAAAGTCAATCGGTTCCCCAGACAGATAAGACCCTGGAAGCGAAAGATAAAAAGTATACACACACACACACACACACACACACACACACACACACACACACACGTACCTACTTGAAGAACAAAAAGAGAGAGCTTTTAAATTAAAAATGCTAAAAGCATTATTAGAACCAGATGTGGTGACACACCTGTAATTCTAGCACTCGTAAGGTTAAAGCAGGAGTGAGTAGGCTTTGAGCCAGCCTAGGCTGGCATGAACTCCATAGCAAGTGGATTCTAGGCTGGCATGAACTCCATAGCAAGTGGATTCTAGGCTGGCATGAACTCCATAGCAAGTGGATTCTAGGCTGGCATGAACTCCATAGCAAGTGGATTCTAGGCTGGCATGAACTCCATAGCAAGTGGATTCTAGGCTGGCATGAACTCCATAGCAAGTGAATTCTAGGCTGGCATGAACTACATAGCAAGTGGATTCTAGGCTGGCATGAACTACATAGCAAGTGGATTCTAAGAGGCTGGCATGAACTATATAGCAAATGAATTCTAGGCTGGCATGAACTACATAGCAAGACCCTGTCTCAATAATAACAACAATAATAATGTTAAAGACACTGAAAACTCCAATGTTAAACTTGGATACTAATATTGAGAAAAATCTTCCTAGAAGATTTTGGAAATAACAAGACAGAAATTATGTAAGGTACAAAGTAAGAGGATTGATCCAAAATACCTAACATCTAAATAAGGAATTCCTTTAAAAAAAAAAAAAAAAGACAGAAAATAGGAGAAAATCACCAATGAAATAATTCAAGAAAATTCCCCAACGCCCAGATTCAAAAGCCCAGCACACTGGATGAAAACAGAAGCAAACCAGGATACAGCACCAGGAAACTTAGATATTGTGAAGAACAAGAGAATATTTCACAACCCCATGGAAAAGCACAGCAGGGCTGTGGCCTCTACTCAAGGTTGCAAGTAAACATTAAGGAGCCAGAAGTTCCTAATTTAGAAGATACTGGAATAATACCATTGAAATTTTCATCCCAGAATTCTACACTTGGTCAATCTAAAAATTTTGAGGGGAAAATAGATATCTTCAGTCATTCTTAATCTCAGAAAGATTGACATTCCATAAATCCTTTTCCAGAAAGCTCTGAGGAGTCCACCAAAATAAAGGAAGTTTTGTGGATAACTAGGAGATGGAACACAAGAAAGAGGCGGTGGGGATTCCCAGGATGCTTAGTGACCGGACAGTCTCTGAGTGCCAGCTGCACACGATAAATAGAAAAGCCCACCTCTCCAGAGTACGGTAAGCCAGGAGGTTCAGGTTCAGCTTCCTGGGAAAAACGAAATTAACAGAAGACCGGATTCCTTTTAAGGGAAGACTTGGAAAACTGGTCAAGGGTTGTAGAATTAATGAGAAGTGCATGTGCGCACACACACACACACACACACACACACAAGCCAAACAAAGAACACAAAAATTTGTGCTTGGTTTAGCTGTGAATATTGACCTACCACTAATATTGTGGCTTATATTGATCTAGCCATTTCCGAGCCCAAATTCTGTGCCTACATATGTTTACATCTACATTTGTTTGCTCCTTATATTTACATTTGTTTGTTTCCCCAATAGCAAACTATTTGTTTGGGGTTTCTTTTTTTTTAATTTATCCCCTTTTCTTTTTCTCTAAAAAAAAAAAAATGTAATTTCAACCTCTGTTTCATGGTAGCTTTAGTCATCTGAGCTCTGAGCAGTAGAACATACAGAAAAAAATTAATAGCTATAATCCAACCCAAGGAAGGGCTGGCTGACCTAGGCAGAGATTCAAAAAACAAGGCAGGCCTAGGTGGAAGCAAGCATGGAGGTATAAATAACCTCTACACCCTCTCCTCTAGGTTCCTTTTGGTGGTTGTTTTTCCCAACAAATCTCTTCCAATAGCATAATCACATGGAGCAGGAAAATCTCCCCACTGCCAATGATCACAAGTCAATTTCATGTCTTTCTTACACACATGGGTGCCCCATTTAGGAGCCTAATTGAACCAAAACAGCTGCCTCCCAAAACTATTAGTAGGTATTCAACTTGAGACACACTCTGCTTCACCTACTATTCCCTGGACAAGATGGGAGCATTGTAAGGGCTCTGAACAGGGGCAGTATCATCAGCAGACACTTCCCGAGCATCCACAGGGGAGCCAGCACCAGACGGAGTATCGATGCCCTTACTGATGCTGTAGACAACAAACAAATGATCTCCCTCGGATGGGCGTGAAGACCCAGGGAGGGGTGAAGCAGATGCCAAAATCTAGAAGAACAGGGGCAGGGCAAGGAAGAGAGGCACCAACTAGGGCAGCCTGGGCAACCTGTAGGCAGAGGTGTGGTTAGAGACCCAAGGACCAAGTTCCCAGCACCCTGGGGTGCCTGGAGGGAAGCAAGGAGGCCAGTCATTCTTCAAGAACACAAATGGACCAGGAATTATCCACAGCCCCTCCATTGTTGTTTAAGGTTTTACCATCTACGGATCGTTACAGGTTTGATAAAAACATAGCCCCTGCCCTGCTTTGAAAACAAAAGCACCTTAATGCAGAATAAAGTAAAGAAACAGTCCGGCAACGCTGAAACACACATTCATACTGTAGATTCTTTCGTATTTGGGAAGAGAGGAAAATTCTAGGCCAAAGATCCATGTGTAGGGCAAAGGTATTGCCAACTACAGCGTAGCATTGATTTGCATGTGTTTACAATACTTGTCCCACACAGTTCCACAAACCAGAATGCACACACCCTTGTGGGAAGAATGAGGGCCATTAACATAAACACACTACAGAAAGCATGAGTTGTCAAGGGCAGGAGTAGTGATCAGATTAATAAGAGCACGGTGAAACGATAAGCCTTTCTTAAACAATGAAACTATAACTGAACAAAAGAATGCTTTCAAATACTTAATGTGTAAGTCTAGCCACCTTTCTCCCCCATTCCCCCATAGAAATCAAGCTATTCCATACTATATTTGAGTCTTGCACACCAAAGAGCTACCCGTGTCATTAATCTGTCAAATGCCAAAATTTACTTAGGATGCTTCCTCCTACCACTCCCTAGCTCTGTAAAAGAGAATTATCTAGAAAGGGAATACATTGTCAGAGTTTCCTAAGAGGAAAACGGAGACTCACTGGAAAAAATGCAAGGCATATGCTTAAAGCATACAACTAGGCGGGTTAGCCTTCAAACCACCAGCCACCCTGTTGTTCCAATTTAACACTGAGATCAACTCCTCTAATCAAATATTCCAGTTCCCAAAGATTGGTCCGAGATGGGACCTGATACACAGAAACATATCTGTTATTCACCAATGACAGGAGAAAGTTAAGAAACTTAAGATGGCACCGTCCTGGGACAAGGTCCACATAAGTTTTTCCCAGAGTCTCCAAGCCCCTATTTATCAAGATCCAAACACCACTCTCCAGAGAGAAAAGTAAATAAGTGCCCCCGATGGGGTGAGGCGCTCAGGCACAGGCAACTGTGTACCATCTCGTGGATTCTCACTTTCCCGCGGGACAAGCAGAGAGGAGAAAAAGCAGCCTGCGGCTCCACTGGGGACGGAACTCAACCGCGAGTGATTGAGCCTCAGAAACCAAGTCAAAAAAAAAGGGCTCAGATGTGGAGCCCGGAGACAGGCTGCAGCCACAGGGAAGGCGCGGCCATCAGGGGAGCGCACCTGTCCCCTCTTCCCGGCCCAAAAAGGACAGACAGCCCACTCTCACCTCCACGCGAAAGGCAGAAGATCCTTCCCAATCCCACTGGGGTCAGGCTCCAGCAGGCGGAGGCCACCTCCTTGTGCGCGCACCCCGTCCGGTCCTCCCCGCCCAGAGTCCCGGGGTCCTTACCTAGATGGAGCTCGCACGGAGACAGGCCAGACCAGCGAGACGTCAGGACTGGCGAGCCTGAAGCCCGGGGAGCGCTGACCGTGCCCACCGCCACGCCCACGCCCACAGCCACGCCCACCCCCTCGCTCCGCTCCGGCCCCGCCCCCTCGCCGCGCCGCCGCTGCCCACAGCCCCGAGTCCCCCACCTTCCTTCCGCGATTGCAAGGAAGCCAGAGGCTGGATGGTGTCAGAGCGCCCCGCACTGTGGCCGGGGCTCCAGGGAGCGTCCCTTATCCACACAGGCATGGCGTGGGGTCTCTCTAAGTCGTGACTTCCCCATCCCAAGCAAAGGCTCGTCTGTCCCCGGCTGGGAGAGCCCGGAGCAGTGGCACCTGTTGGTGACTGAGAGCCCTGTCGGAACTCAGAACCGACTTCCACTTCCCCCTTAGCCCCGGCGGCGGCGAGGCGAACCGGATGACGCTGTGCCCTGGGGTGATAAAAAGAATGGGTCGTTTTTTACTGGCAATCCTGAGGCAGGAGAGCATAGCACAGGGTCACGTACCTTATTAGTGTATTAACACTTAACCTCGTTGAAGAGTAGAAAACAGCTTTCGAGTTATTCACTTGTATTAAATACTGTAAAGGACTTAGAACTTGCCCACTGTCACCTAGCTGGCTAATTGAGAAGCTGGCCTTGAAAGACTGGTGCTTTAGCTCAGTGGTACGGTGTCTGCTTAACGTCCACAAGGCAAGGGGTTTCATCTCTACCTTGAAGTCTAAACTGTCCTTGACAGAAGCCTTTGCTCTCAGGACTCATCAATCACGTACTGTCGGACAGGCATGGTGGCCCACACCTTTAATTCCAGCACTTGGGAGGCAAAGACAAGCCCATTTCTGTGTATCCAAAGCCAGTCAGGTCTACATACTGGCTCCATGCCAGCCAGGGTTGGGATGTGAGGACCAGAGGGAGAGGGACACAGGACAGGACTGTAATGTTCATGAGTTGTCCCTGAGAATACAAGACTGAGCTCTGCCCTCCAAAAGCTTGTGGGATGGAGAGATAGACTAAACTTGTAAAATGCTTGCTATGTAAACGTAGGTTGATCACCTAGAACCCACCAAACCCAACAGCTCTCCACCGGTAATCCAGAGCTGAAGGCAGACACTAAGCATATCCGGGAACTTGCTGGCCACCCAGTCTTAGCCCAGCAGGCCAGCTCTGGGTTCAGGTCCAGGTTCAATGAGAGACTGGATCTCAAATCAAACGGTAGACAGCAATTGACAGAGACACTCAACCTCTGGCCTCCACGGTGGAGCCTTTACTCTAAACAGGGAGAAAACCAATGCACAGGTAAGCAAAGAAACCACTTCACCTGTGAGGTGTCTTGACTGAAATACACTGGGGTAAAGAAAGAGAGAGTGACGAGGAGGGGACTTCTCAAAGGAAGTGACTGTGCAGCTGAGACCTGAACCAGGCAGCCAACGCGAAGATGAAACTGGGAGGGGCGGGATGACTGAGCAGTGAGACTCCTCCCTCACACCTGCTGAGGACTTCCAAGAACTGCCTTCCGGTGCTACTTCTGCTGTGATCACCGCACTGACCTGAGACGGCATGTGACAAGATTCCGTGTGACAGGGAAAGAACCAAGAGCTGTTTAAAGGACTCGCCTAAAGTCATATAATTAGGAAGGGGTGAGGGAAAGAGAGGAGAACACAGAATTGAACCAATGATCTGTGTCTAAATCCTCTGGCTCCAGGGAAGGCCTTAAGCATCATGAGCCATGCTCTGAGTGAACCTCCTGCCTCTTATTCCCTTCATTGTGCTGATTTTTCCTGCCGTGCAGATGTTCTTGGGGAGAGGAGGTTTGGATCCTGTGAAACTGTCTGAAAAAAAAAAAAGGTGGAGCATGTGTGTGCAGAGAGAGCAAGTGATAGTCATGGTGCTGCAGTGTGTGTGTGTGTGTGTGTGTGTGTGTGTGTGTGTGTGTGTGTGTGTGTGTGTGCAGAGAGAGCAAGTGATAGCCATGGTGCTGCAGTGTGTGTGTGTGTGTGTGTGTGTATGTGTGTGTGTGTACACACTTGGAAGCTTATCATATTGACTACCTTGGAAAAGATAAGCACTATTGCCTTTAAAGGGCACCACCACCTGATACTATGATGCTTAGAACTCATTTCTTGTCATATGGACTGCTGCCCCTGGATGATCCTCCTGTCTCATATTCTCAACTACATGGAAATGAGGCTTTTGGTGGTAAGGAATTTTAAATAAGAGACTTTCTGATGCCTCCTTCCTAAAGCTTAAGAGAGAAAAAAAATTACTCTACTGCTCTCCTTTAATTCTGAGGAATATAAGAGAGGACATACCTGTCAGCAAAACACCTCCATCCAAATAGCTTGACAATAATTGGGGGAAGGTTTCCTGAAGAAAACCTTCATTCCGCTGTCACTCAAACAGTTCAAGAAGGTGTTGCCACCGTATGCCCTCCACAAACCATGTAGGAGAGAGGACCACTGTTCTCGGCAGGGTAAAAAGAAGAGACAGAGACCAGCAGAGGACTTCAAGTCCATCAGTGGGAAAGTGTGAACGCCGAATTCAGAATGTGCTTGGTATTTAATGCTGCAGCTGGGGAAACGGCTCAGCATTCAAAGCATTTGTTGTGTAAGTTTGATGACCCGAGTTAGGTCACACACATAAACTGGACACACACAGGCATCTGTAATCCCAGCGTTCCAGTGACAAAATAAGAGGCAGAGACAGGAGACTCTCGAAGCTCCAGAGGCAGCTGATGTCCACAGTTGTACACATGATGTATACAATAAGAGAGACTCTGTCTCGAGGTGAAAGGCAAAGACTGAAACCTGAAGTTGTCTTCTGACATCATACATAGAGTGGCATGTACACACTTAAACACAATAATATACCATCCCGTGGCATGTCTGTGTGTGTGTAAATATATATAATTATCATAAATTATTATTTTCTTCCATCTTACATGAAAAGAGAATACAAAGGTTGGGCTTCCATAACTCAAACAAAAGGTCGTGGATTTAAGATTTCTCCCTTAAAGCTGGGTGTGGTGGCTCATGCCTTTCATTCCCCCCACTCAAGAGGTAGAGGCAGGCTGATCTCTGTGAGTTTAAGGCCAACCTGGTCTACAAAGTAAGTTCCAGGATAGTCAGGACTGTTACACAGAGAATCCCTGACTGGACAAAAGAAAAAAAAATTCTCCCCTTTCCTTCAAAGTCAAAGCTCAGTCTTCATTACCCATTACAGCCTTCTTAATAAAGTTGAAGTACAAATTAGGCATTTATACAATGTCTTGGAGCCCATGATCTCCCTTCTTATACGGTATTGCCATGACATCTATAAAATTTTATATATTTAAGTGCTAAATAATAGGTTGACAATTTCTGTTTCTTGAGAGAGAAAAAAATACCTTTTTTAACATGGGTTAAAATTTCACATGGTACATAAGAAACATATAGAATCCACCTGAAAGGTTTGTAGACAAAGCAGTGTTTGTATCTGGAGTCTGGCACCCCAGTTTGGTGACTTTTTTTGTGACTTTTGACCTACCCAAAGAACCTGCCCATAATCTGACCAAGCATTCATTGAATGAATAAATGATTACAATGATGATAATAATACAGATCTTATCAGTCTTGTGCAGAGACTCTCTTTCTATGTGAAGAGGACCTCACTGAGATTATGTGACATGTCTGCCTCTTTCCATTGTGTATCAAAAGCAGTATTTGTATATCAAAAAAGCAGTGTATCAAAGAAGTATTTGGAACTCAATAGATAGAAAGGAGGAAGGAATGCTGAATGTTAGACATGAAGTTGTTAAACATACTACCAAGAACAGTTGTTAAGCTAGAGAAATGGCTCTGCAGTTAAGAGCACTGGATGAAAAAGGACTTGGTCAAGCGGTGGTGGCACATGCTTTAATTCCAGCACTCCGGAGTCAGAGACAGGTGGATCTCTGAGTTCAAGGTCAGCCTGGTCTGCAAAGTGAGTTCCAGGACAGCAAGGAATAAACCGAGAAACCCTGTCTTGAAAAAAGCCAAAAAAAAAAAAAAAAGAGCACTGAATGTTCTTCCAGAGGACCCAGGTTTGATTCTCAGCATCCACATGGTAGCTCACAACCAGCTCTAACTCCAGTTCCAGAAGGTCCGATGCCCTCTTCTGGAGTCTGAAGGTACTACATGCATGTAGCCTGTTAAATTAAACCAGCCTATGTATTTTAAGGATGTCTTAACTTTAGAATGAAAATCAGAAAATGTGTTGCATTGGGGGAGAAGTTATACCTTTATTTCCATGAGAAACAAAAGGCTATATATACATTTATTCAAAATTAATAAAGATCAAATTTGACAGGGGGAGGCCTCTTGAAAGTCTTGGCTGCATACATAAGGAAGAAACCAAGAAAAACTACAAGACATGTGACATACACGCTTATCCCTCTGCATGGGAACAGCTCTGAATTGCATGAGATGTGATAAGTCTTTTTGGCTAAAGAGTCCTCAGGACTGATTATTCCATGCCATCCTTCCATAAGGCATGGATGGAGATTTATATTACAGTTTTATGCAGTCCAAACGGACTTAGAAAGTTGACAGGATGTCTCTTACCTGCTCAAAAACAGAGCAGAGAATCATCTTTAGCTGATTTGTGCACACCACACATTCCATGGTTGTGTTAGTATAGATATGTATTTACCTTTAAAAAAGTTTGTGTGTTTTCAGAACAAAAGAACCAGACACCAATGAGGACAAGTAGCCCAGGTGACCCAGCTACTCAGAATGCCTCTGTTGCAGTTTCTTCAAAAATCTACATCCAGAACTTCAAAGTGGCTAGCTAAAATGGTCCAGCCTCATAGACTACTCCATCCAGGACTTCAGATAGGCCTTGAAGTTTCCCATCACACACAGATTGAACGCCAGATGATGTAGCTAGCTCTCCAGGACTTGACCATTATCCCAATTTTCTCAGGGTCCTCTAAAGATGCCATCATCCCCAGACAGCAGGAAGTAATTTTAAGAACACAACGCCCACATTCTCGAAAGGTGGGGTGGTTTTTTGGTCATTCAGTGGGTTAT